TTCGACATTAATACTCTGTTTCACCTTTAGTATTCGGATGTGTTTTCTTTAGATTTTGCGCAAAGAACGGGGATATATATATATATATATATATATATTTTCTAATTTATGTCTAAGAATATTTAGAAAAATAAAATCAATGTGATAAAATATATATAATAAACAAAAGCTGATATACAAGTATACAAATATATAGAGAAGCAGATATATAGGAGCAACGTAATAAATAAAAAAGGGTACATAAGTACCATAATGTTATACTGCTCTGATCATATTTATAGGGCAGAGAGAGAAAATTTTTTTAGATCCTATTTATAAGTCACTTTATTAATTTTCCAGTGCGAATGTACTATTTTGTCCTTCATTTATTATGGTGTATGTAGTTATCTTTTTTAAAGAGTATATATATTAAATATGGATAAAATTAAAAAATTATTATATTTTAATAGAAAGTTTATGCATTTTAAGATTTTCTTTAATCTGTATAAAACATATTAGAAGTGCTTTATAAATATTGACTAGAGGAGTACTAAGAAGAGAAGTGGGCTTTGATGCTAAGGCATTACTCCCTCCGTTCCTTATTATAAGAGACGAATAACCGAATTACGTTAATAAAAAAAACAGTTAAAATTAGTTAAGAACAATCAATGTGTAAAAAATATAATTTTTTTCAAAAATACCCTCATTAATAAGGAGAGAGAGCATGAGAGAAAACAATTAAATTATTGAAAGAAAGAAAAGTGAGAGGGAGAGAGAGTGTGAGTTGAAGACAATAAATATGGGTAAAATAGGAAATGAACACAAAAAAGTAGAGACAACTTTTAAATGTCTCTTATATATAGGAACATGCCATAAGCATCAAATGTCTCTTATAATAAGGAACGGAGGGAGTATTTAGATAAAGAGACGTCGACACGTGACCTGTGGGCAGCAAAGATGGACTGGAGATCAGAGCTAACCCTTCCCCATATTGCACTAGAAACTAATTAATTAATCAATCAATTAATTAATGGTTTTTATTATTAAATACTTTCTCCCATCCACGATATAACTAACTTCTACGAAAATTTCTTATCTCTGTTTGGATGAGAGAAACGAGGGAGGAACGACAGGAAGAAAAACTTGATGTTTTCCTTCTTAAGTTTTTAGGATCTGTTTAGCTCAATAAGAGAAAGAAGAGGGGAGGGATTTTAATGGAGGGAGGGGAAGAAGAGAGTGGAAGGATTTTAATATTATCTTGTTTGGATTTATAAAAAAAAAAAGGGAGGGGGAGTTTTAATATTATCTTGTTTGGTTCATAAGAGAAGGGGAGGAAAAAATATTTTATATGGACAATTTTACCCTTATTTTATTGAAAATACATGCATAATGGTCACAATATGACAAAAGATGAGTATAATAGTCACAACTTAGTCAAAATATTGTCCTTTCCCTTCCAAATTGTCCTAATTTTGGAGGGGAGGTTGAGGAGAGGAGGGGAAGGAAAATTTTTAAAATTTTTCCCTCTCCTTCCAAAATTTGTGTGTTGCCAAACAAGGAGAAATGATTAAAATCTTTCTCCCTCCCTCCCTTTCCTCCCAAATCCCTCATACCAAACACACCCTTGGTATTCCCTCCTCCTTATTTATCTCTCGTTTTTCCTCCATCCAAACATAACCTTACTTTATAATATAAGTATTGGAGTGTAATATAATTAATATTTATTTCTCAATTCTATCATTATAATTGATGTTTAAATTTAACTCATTTTACTTTTCTTTCTCCTTCACAACCTCATTTAATAAGGGTAAAGTTAAAAAAGAATTAATTTAAAACAGATTTAATATGTTAACAACCATTTAATTTAATTATGATGAAGTAGTTAAAGTAATCTATGCTGCCTACGATATTTAATATAAGAACTAGTTTGACTTTCAATTTGATCCTAAATATAAGACCTCAATCCACTTGATCTTTCATATTTATCTATTTTTTTAAAGTAGTTCTTGTAATAGCTGCACATCTTAAATGTTTCATCAAATGACAGTTCTAGTTCATATACATGATTAATAAGGATATTCTAGAAAAAACAACATATATTTATTACAAATAATTAATTTAATTACTTTTTTAATCTTTTCAAATTAATCATCTAGGTTTTATATTACCTTCAATTCTTAATATAAGAGCTCGTTTGACTTTTATTTTGATTCTAAATATAAGACTCTAATCTACTTTGTCTCTTATATTTATCTGTTTTTTTTCTAAAGTAGTCATTATAATAATAATAATTCTAGTTAATATACTTGATTAGTAAAGATATTTAGAAAAACAATACCTATTTATTACAAATAACTAACTTAAATAATTTTTTAAATTTATTTAAATTAATTAATTAATTTTTATATTAAACATCGGGGTAGTGTTAAATCTCGGGGGAGGTAGTATTATGTAATGTAATGGAGTATAAGATACTAGTCAACAATTTGGGCTTCAAATTGGAGGGCAAGTGTGCTTTTGTTTTATATATCAAGATTTCCAAATGCAGACAAAAGCGAATGCAAGTGATTCACTGCAAATCGATGAATGATCCTAATATCATGCCGCCACTTGTTTAATGCTACCAAACTAACCAGCTCAATGGCTACCTATTCTTTCATAGCCTTAGCTTCTATAGGCTTTTATATGCCTATGTTTGTGATTTTATTATATTATACATAGAATTGTATGTGGTAGTTTAATTTAAGCAAGTATTTAATATAAAAACTAATTGACTAATTTGAGTTAATTAAAAAAATTTGTTAAGTTAGTTATATGTATTGTATTCCCTAAAATATTCTCGCTAATTATATGTATTAGTTAGAACTATCATTTAATAAAGTCATTAACATGTGCAACTACTACAAGAACTACTTTTAAAAAAATAGATAAACATGAAAAACAAAGTGGATTGAGATCTTATATTTAGTACCAAATTAAAAGTCAAGCTAACTTTTATATTAAAAACCGGAGATAATATTATATCATTAATTATCCAAGTTCAAATGATGATCAAAGCTATAAATGATGTGGATAGTGTAATCTCATTACTTGTAAATGCTATATACTCCACAATTTTTCATATAAGAGTTATTTAAATAATTTCAATAAATAGAACATTAATTAAACAAACAAATTAATTATAATAAATGCATTTAACATATATAGTTGAAAAAAATTAAAATGATAAATATAATAGATAAAAAGAATGCACATTTTATATTTATGATCGAAACACAATTCTTCTAAATAGTTCATATATTTAGTATCAAAAAGAGTGTATATATATATATATATATATATATAAAGTTGTAGTAAGTATTACTGGGATAACACAAGTAAAAACACAACATAGGAGTGAATAAATCGGGTGATAGAAATGAGTGCAATTAACTTTTAGAATGACTTTCAATCCAAATTTTTATTAATTTTTGTGAAAGATGTTGCATAAAAGAGTAACAAATAGAGTCTTATATAATATACAGTAGGATGGGAATACATTTAATAAAGATTTTAGGTTGTGTTTGGTAGGAAGCATTAAAAATGAGGGATTGGAATTAGGATTATAATTGAGAAAATATATTAAAAGAGTATTTAGTACAAGAGATTACTTGTTATATGGGATTAGCCAAACCCATATATGTGGGATTGGAGAATACCATGAGGAGAGTAGGTATTCCCCAATCCCACCTCTATGGGTTTGTCTAATTCCATATAATAAGCAATTACTCATGCTAAATACTATTTTAATATTTTTTTGCAATTGCAATTTCAATCTCAATTCCTCATTTTCAATGCTTCGTACAAAAAGGACCTTAGGGTAAATGTGAACCCAACAGTTTAATCTTTTTAAATAGTGCAATTTTACTCACAATCTATTAAATTTTGGTGCAACCTGGTAATCTATTTTTTAATGTTTTGATTGATAAAAGGAAGCAAATTATTAATTCTAACTGTTAAGATGAATAAAAGAAAAATCATGATTTTAAATAAATAAGAAAAGGAAAGATTGCACGAAATTTAAAAGATCATAAATAAAACTATATCACTAAAAAAAATTAAGATGTTGGGCGTACTTCAGAAATAAAAAGGGGATGCTACTTTACCCAAGACGTTACGTTGTGTAGTTATGAGTAGGATATAAGTTGATAAGTTATTTAAAAGGAATGGCCCATGCACATTCAATGGAATTGCGGAAATTTTTGTAATAAAAAAGAGGGAAGAAGATGAAAAGAAGATAAAATGGGTTTGTGTGGAGAGAGAGAGAGACATAAGAGGACCCGCGTCGTGGGGGCGATGAACAAATACATTGGCCTTGTCCATCGTCCCACCCCTTCTATCCTCCATCATAACCCTAATTTCACGACATACTCTCTGTCCTCCCGCCCTCTATCTCTCTCTCTCTCTCTCTCTCTCTCTCTGGAGATACCATTAATTACTATATATTAAACACTTAATATTACTTATATCTTAGCTTCACACCTATATTAGAGTTAGAAATTCTTGCGTACTACTATCTTCTATCCTTAATGTAAGAATTAATTTAACTTTCAATTTGGATTTAAATACAAGATCTCAATTCATTTTGTTTATCATATTTATCCATTTTTCTTAAAATAGTTTTTATAGTAGTTGCACATATTAAATATTTCATCATATGGTAAGTCTAGCTAATACACATTATTAGCAAGGGTATTTTAAAAAAAACAACACATAATTATTACAAATAACTAACTTAACTAATTTGTTTAGTCTACTTAAATTAGTCAACTAGCTCTTGTATTAATTATCTAACATAGAAATTAACAAGACTGGTGAGTCGTTGTTGATCACATGGTGAAGCCTACTGATAAGAAGCGTAGCCCACCGCTTCGTCCTATGCATTTGTAAACTACCCCTCTTCTTCATCCATCCATTCTTGAAGATTCTCTGCAGGCTTATATATATATACCGACTCGCACCATATTCAACACACCCTCCCTACTAATACTGAATTTCTCTGTCTACCTCTCTGACATGTATATACATGTTCCAGACCCACTTCTTCTTCTATTAATTTGCGACTTATTGTTCCTTAGCTTCTCTCATCTCTCATCTGTGTGGTGAGCAAATTACGATCTTCCAAGCAATAGCAAACAGCCATTTCTGACAGATTTGAGAATGTCTGGCAGAAGATCTCGTTCCGGACAGTCCACAGAGATCAGTGATGACCAGATCAACGATCTCGTCTCCAAGTTACGACGCCTTATTCCCGAACTCCAACCCACTCCCTCCCACAAGGTATTCGTTATATATTCATCTCTCTCTTTCTCAGAAAATATGAAATCATATAATTTCCAACTATATGAAAACAGCAGAAAATCTAGGTAGCTAGTTATTTATTGGAGATGTGGGGGATATGACGGATGCAGGTATCGGCGGCGAAGGTGTTGAAGGAGACCTGCAACTACATAAAGAACTTGCACAGAGAAGTTGATGGCCTAAGTGACCGCTTATCTGAGCTTTTGTCCTCCACTGACTCCGACAGTCCAGAAGCTGCCATTCTTAGGAGCTTGCTTATGTAATTTTAATCTCCTATTATATATATATATATATATATATATATGTCCCTCTTAATAAAGGGCTTTAATATGTGGCCTCCATGGCCGTCCTTGAAGTACGCTTGTAGACTTAGCTTGTAGAACTAATTGTCCGTCTTATCTTGCTATGTGAAAGAATAACACGGACTATATGTATTTGTCTCTTCTTCTTCTTCTTCTTCTTCACTGAGAGAGAGAGAGAGAGAGAGAGAGAGAGATTGGAGCATGGTAAAACTTGACAAAAGATGATTGTGTGGTTTAATTAATGTTAGTGATGCGTATATATAATAACGTGAGAGAAACAGAGAAGTTATGGGTGGAACCATGAAAAGATTTAAGCAGGTTATGAAGTTGAGAATGGGATATAACTTATTAAGTACATGCATGTGACGTTAATTATATGACCTCACAACATTATTAGTTAATGTTTCAGAATAATTAGAAGGACCCCCCGTATTAATAACAAACTCATCAAACACCACCTTTTTCTCGACAAAATCATGCATAACTAACTGCAAACACTCGCATATGGACGAGAAAGGATGTGTGTGTGTGTGTGTGTGTGTAGGATTCACTTTAATTTTTTTTTTTTAGGATTCACTTTAATTATAATCAATCAAAATTTTCTGGGAGCCTCAAAATATTGTCGTTAAGGACGTTAATTACCCAGCTTTTTTGAAAGAACAAAAACCCTAGTGTGTTTAGATTTATTGTTTTAATTCATGACCAAGGTTCAAGACTTCAAGTGAATAAGAGATCTATTTGATTGATTTTTCTCTTCTGTAAATTCAGTAGCATGCTGTATGCTTATCAAACCAAAATAAACATAAAAGATTGAGCCGGGAGCCTAGAATAGCAAGTCATGCTATTAGCGATTTGTAAACATTATATGGTTTCCTGCAACTTTTTATAAATGTAATGATTTAAATTGCCCAAAATGAATTTGGGTAATTTAAATTTAACATTAAAAAAGTAGTACTCCTCTAGTTCTAAATATAAGACTCATTTTGTAGTGTAATTTTTTTAAATATAAGGCCCATTTTGTAGTGTAAAACCGGAGAGAATATATATTTTTTCATACAGAACATTCAGGCGATCGAGGGAGATCATGAATAAAAATAATTTACATTTTACATCAGCCAAGTGGTGCCGTGTTAAATACACGCAACGACGACGGAATCTGGAAAATTGGTTTGGCGTGTTAATATTTATTCTTAACCAAATACTGCTCGGATCTTTAATGTAAGAACCACTTAATTAATTTAATAATATTTAAAAAGTTAGGTAAGTTAGTTAATCATAATAAATGTGATATTTTTTTCCCTAAAATACCATAACCATATTTCTTAATACTCCTTCCTACTTGATTATAGTTGAGGGAGTATCAATGAGAATAATTTTAAAAAAATTAATAAATATGAGAAATAAATATTATATTTAGGACCAAAATTAATTTAACAATTAAATCTTACATTAAAAACCAGAGAAGTAGCATTGAAAAACCTTAATGACGTTTGGTTAATAACAGAGAGAATAGCATTTCATTTGCGTCCCTTGTAAGGGAACTAATAAGATTTTGATTCCTACTAAAAAAAAAAAATAATACAATCAATCTAAAAATAATCATTGTTTCAAGGGACCCAAATATTATTTTGCCTTAATATTATTATAATTAAATAGCTGAAAATGCTCATGGGATTGAATAAACGATTGCGACTTTAAAGTTCACGATAAAGTTATAGAGACGTGACCTATCTCTATCCCAGAAGATTAAAAAGATAATGGAAGAAAATGGAAGAATATATACGAAACCTACAGTTAATCAAGCCAAATAATTTTAATAATAACACTACTTACAATTCAAATGTACAAAGCAGCTCTACAGTGAATTTATAAAGATACTTATAGATCTGTTTTTTTTTAAAAAAATAAAGTGTGACATGAAATATTCATGATTTACAGTTATGAATCATCACCAAATGGATTTTGAAAATGAACATAGTATAAGAGTGAGAACTAGAATCATGTCCCGTTGCATTGCATGGAAATTTGTGGTGTGAAGAAATAAATAAGCAAAAGCTTGGTTTAAAATTACCCACGTCACCATGGCTTCGTGTGTGTGATCAAATTAGATTGGCTACTCTCTGTTATTGCCGTGCGTTGAACAATGTGCGTGAACTCTTTCTTCAAAAGGTGCATCCATTCTTTCTTTCTTTAAATCTCTCAATCTTCAACAAATCTACCTCTATAGAACTACCCCCCTCCTCTCTCTTATGTATATGACTTGCAAGTTGATGTCACAATACAATATTCACCGAGTTACTACACATACAGATATATATATGTGTGTGTGTGTGAGTACATCAATATATAGCAAAAAAAAAAAGAATAGTAAATCCTAATAAAAACAATAATAAACACAGAGATAAATACCAATTAAATCATATTTACATAGATATATATCTCAATAAAAGATATCAACAATATATATAAATACTGAGATTCAAACCTTCAACCATTTATTTAAGTGATGGTGAGAGTCTTTATCACTTACATAAATTTGAGTTTATATATATAGTACTCTTCTTAATATAGGACCCAATTTTTGAGTTGGTTTTGGTCCTAAATATAAGACCCATTTATCATATTTATCAATTTTCTCTAAATTACCCCTATGAATACTCCCTCAACTATAATCAAGTAGAAGAGGAAGAGTGGGTATTAAGAAAGATGATTATGGTGTTTTAGGAAAAATGTGTCACTTTTTTTATAATTAACTAATTTACCTAACTTCCTTAATCTAATCAAATTAGTTAAATGGGTCTTACATTAAGGACCGGAGGAGTATATGCTTAAAATCATTAATACGAGTATACTTTTCTCAATAGTACAGATGAATATTGAATGAAGCGTGCGTTTCATTAGGTCACTTATGAGTTAACAAAACGACTTAATTATTGTGTGTGTGTGTGTGTATATATGTACGGTATATTGCTAGGGTGCAATTTTGTTTATTCACTTATTCATTTACTATATTTATACCCAAACATATTTTTGGGGGTGCTATTTTATCTAATTTGGAGCAGGAGTGCTTAATTCAAATTTTTGATACATTTTATACAGTTATTGGATTTTTGATACTATCAAATCATACTGGAGCATTATTAAACATAATTCTTTGAATACAATTTTTTTGGGGCATGGGCGAGGTGTTTTCTACATATAAAAAAAAAAATCTTGTGTAATCAATTAATTATACTATCTTCAATTCTAATTGTAAGACCTCATTTGTAGGCTACATACGAGTTCTTATAGTTAGAACCGGGTGTAGTACTACCTCTAGTCCTTAATATATGACCTTATTTGAATTTTATTTTGGTCTTACCCCAATCTATTTTGTCTATCATATTTATGTATTTTTTTCCCCAAAGTAGTCTTTCTAATAATAGTAGTTCTAATTAATACACTTGATTAGTAAGGATATTTTAGGAAAGATAACACTTATTTATTACAAATAACTAACTTAACTTTTTTTCTTAATCTTCTCAAATTAATCAACTAGCTCTTATACTTAAGACTGAAGGTAGTATCTTATTCTTCTTCTATATTTTTTTCCCAAACATGAACATTCTTGAATCCAAAAAAAAAAAAGAATAAAAAAGGGAGAATTGCAATGAAGTAAGGAACTTAATTACTAAAAAGCTTCAATAACAAGAGAATAGCTTACAATGATAAGTTTTAGTACAGTAAATGATACAACTACTTACCTGTCATTTTATTTTTTGTTATTAGGATTTTATCGTAATTCTCTCAGTGAAAATACAGAAGCCTGGGTTTAGAATGAGTTTAAAGCCCATGTTTTATAAAACGGCCTATAATCGGATTTATTGGATTTCGTAGAGAATGGAGGCCCACTCAACCTGAATTGGCTGGACTAGGAAGCCCAATTAGTGTTATGTTTCGATTGCCACGTGGCACACATCCCATGGCGACATCGTGAAACAGCAACCGCAGCCAGCACAACGAAGTCGGGAGTCAAAGGAGAGTCTCTCGCAGCTTCTTTATGTACGGGCATTCTACTATTTGAGGTCTGTTTTCTTTCTTCAATCTCTTCGATATTAACCTGTATGAATTTTGGCAATCATGCATTCGCGATTCACTGTTATTTTTTCTGTTTCTTGTTTTTAAAATTTTCTTTCTCGGTTTGGTATTTTGTTCTCTTCGCTTTTATAAAAATTTGCTTCTTCCGCTTTCTCTGTAGTCTTTTTTTTTTTTTTTTCCTTTGCTCTTTCTCAGGAGAGGGAGCTTCTGTTCGCTTTTATTGTTCTTTCAGTTGTGATGTTATGGGAATGTTTGTGTTAGGCTCTCAATTTGGGATATAGGATGAGTTCGCGGACAACTTGATCTAATTTTGGTATTGAGTATTTGGAGAGCTGGGAGTAGGGGAAGTTCAGTAGTGTGACCATTGTATGATATGGTTTGTAATCTTTCTTTATAGCACCTTTGTGATCTCAAATTAACAGTTAATCACTGATTTCGATAGCGGGGGGTAGAACTAGGAATTAGCCACTGAAAAGTGTGAAAAGCTATTATGAAAATAACAGAACTGAAAATGCTTGGTTGATGCTCAAGTCCGGTCCAGTCGTGGTAGGGTGTCGGTTGCCTTGAGAAGTGGTGGAGTGGCTTTGTTGGGCAGTATAGTAGTAGTGGTGTTGGAGTTCTAGTGGGGGAATCGAGTTTAAAGGGTCAAGGTGAATGGACAATGTAAGCGGCTGGCGATGGTGGTTAAAGTAACATGGATTTGATCATAATGGATGAATAGCTTATCTTGAAATGTTGAAATTGCTTATTGCATTTGAAATGTTCTTTCTACTCGTCCGTTGGTTTGCTCATTTCTTCTTTTCTGAAATGATTAATTCCTTCTGCTTTCATTATGATCACTTTGAAGGGAAATCTGCTTGAAAACATATTGGAAAGATGGATTCTGATGGATATGTTGTTGAAGTTACAAGTCTATCCCCACAAGCCACAGAGAAAGATGTCTATGAGTTTTTTGCTTTCTCTGGTGTAATTCAGCATGTCGAAATTGTGAGGTAAATTCTAACTGCGAAACTTAATTCTTATTGGATTTTGAGGATGATGCTTGTGCTACTTCTTGAGGATTAGTTGATTTTGAGGATGATGCTTCTGCTACTTCTTGAGGATTAGTTGTTCCCTTTAGTATATTGTAAAGAGTTCAGTTTGATTGTGTGCGCTTCTTGCTGCAAGGTGAAGGTGGAGTCCAATATATTCAGTCCACAATTTCTCTAAAGTCCATGCTATCTTGGATTTCCGATTCTTAACTGAAATAGCCCTTTCCATAAAAAGAATGCCTTCTCCCAAGTTTATTTAGAATCCAATTATGAAAACAAAACAATTTAATTAAGTGGATTTGCTAAAGAAATTTGCATCCTTATTTCTCTCAACAGCCAAAATGAGCTTCTGAACCACCTCCTCATGGAGGACATTGAAAAAAAGTACAACCCATTTGAATATAAAGTCTCCTCAGTTCCATGAAGCCGTTGAACCTGTAAAAGCTAATTGCGCTTTACAATATTATATGAGGTTTTTCTTATGGCAACTCCCTGTAAAGTGGTTGATTTTTTTATTTTTTATTTTTAAAATTCCAGCTCATAATTTTGAATATGTAATTCACCATAAATTATTTTCCTTTACTTTCTTAGAGCCATTTAACTTGTTTCTTAGTGTTACTTTCATTCTATAGTTTATGGCATATAATTCAGCCTGGAAATACTGGCTATGGATGGTGATGGTCTGAGACGAATCCCATGGGTCTTCGCTTTATTCTCTTTAAATTTGTAACTTAAATATTTAAATCTTTCTTTCGGGAATTTTTTTTTTTTTTTTCCTTCTGTTGGTTTCTTGCTATAATACAGATGATGTATAAATTAGACCTGAAATTGCTGCCCTAGAGATAGACTGCTACTCTTTGTGCAGGGCATGCTGGACATAATTGCTTACCTTTGCTAATTCTATGTGAATCAATCATTTATAGCATTTGCCATAAATTTTTCTTTAACATTAATATTGATTTTTGCATGTTGATTTGTATTTGATATTAATCTCACTTATATTTGCACATAGGTCTGGCGACGCCTGCACTGCTTATGTGACATTCAAAGATGCCTATTCTCAAGAAACTGCTTGCTTGCTCAGTGTGAGTATTGGCCAAAATTCTTTTTCTTGGTATACTTATAATACTTTAAAAAGTTAGTTTTTTGTAATTTGCCGTTCTGCTAATTCACCTTGACAACCATTCCATATTTGCCACTTCTAAACATTATGGCTAACCAAGCATTGTATAATCTTTATTCAAACATTTATTATCTTGTCTTCTAGGGTGCTACTATTTTAGATCAACGTGTGTGCATAACACGCTGGGGGCAGAATAGAGATGAACATGACTTTTGGAGCAGCCCTTCCTATAGGGATGCAGAGGAAACCACTTACACTGTAAGTACCTGCATTTCCTTTCTTCTGCTAAACTGCTGACGATTATAGATTTCTCTTTTCATTCAAACGTTGTTTATTCTCATTTCTATTGCAGCAACCTCAAAGCAGTCATTTTGTGTCATCTGCTGGAGAAGCAGTTACTGTGGCACAGGATGTCGTCAAGACCATGCTAGCAAAGGGATATGTTCTTGGTAAGGATGCGTTAGCTAATGCCAAAGCATTCGATGAGTCTCACCAAGTTTCAGCGACTGCCTCAGCAAAGGTTGCTGAGCTGAACCAGAGAATTGGCCTCTCCGAGAAACTATCTGCCGGAGTCAATGCTGTTAGGTCCATGGATCAGAGATATCATGTCTCAGGAACAGCCATGTCAGCCGCATCAGCTACGGGAAGATCAGTTGCAGCAGCTGCAAATACCGTGGTAAACAGCAGCTATTTTTCAAAGGGAGCCTTGTGGATGTCAGGCGTTTTATCCCGAGCTGCAGATGCAGCGGCTGATCTGGGTGGCCGGAGTGGCACTGGCGGCAGCAGGCAGTGAGCCGTTGGGTCATTTGACCCATATTCTTGTTCATACTTCTGCCGCACTGCCCGATAGGTTTGTTGATACAGTTATAGGTTTATCAATAATGTTCTCAGTTGTTGTATGATATGGTTTCTTCAGGATATGAATGAAGAGGATAATCGTTAATACAACAAATCATTGTGGACAAACTAATCTTACTGACTATTAACTCTTTTTTAACTTGAAGTTGCTTAATTGCTTTCATGGTTTGATAAGTTGTTCTCGGAATGAGTTCTTTTTCCATTCCAGTGTGACTAATTAGGCTTCATTTCACCTTCAAGTACATTTTACGGAAGTCAAAACAAAACTTCTTTCATGGCAAATGATGATTTTAAAAACTAATTGCAAGTCATTCCAAACGGTTCTTCGTATGTTATGAGGATTGGTGCTTAAATTGGGCAAGCAATGAGCAATTTCACAAGGGAAAGTTACTGCATCAGTAATTTAGGAGGTGTTTGGATAGAAACAAAACTAGGATTTTAAAAGTGTTTTTACGGTATACGAAGTAAATATGTAAAGGAGTTTGTTTCGATTTGCAGAAAAGTGTTTATGAAAAGTATCTTTGAGGTTACCTAAACACCCCTTAATCATTAAAAAAATTTTCATAATAAGTACTAGTACAAAAAATTACAAATAGGATTTTTTTTCTTGGTTAGATTGTTTATATGGAGTGATATGATAATTTTTCCATTTTACAACCTAATTAGATTTCAGCCTCGTGCGTCGCACGTGACAATTAGTTCTCGAAATTGCTGTTAATCCTATGATATATCTTGGCGACATGCAGCCCCCAAGTTAGTGTTTGTCTTTCAATCCAGTGGATGTCTGGATATAGTAATGAGGGATCAGTGGCTATAAAAGAAATCAATATGTTTAAGCCAAGAGAAATATTCCGGTTAAAAAAAAAAAAAAGGGTCATGACAAATATTGTGCATGACTCGTAAACATACTGCTAACAGTGAGTTCCAACAAATATATCAGGCTGATTTCAGTTTGTACAAAAATTTTAAAAGGCCAGCCTTCGGCCCTTACCTAAGTATAGGCCCAACCTTCAATTCTTGAGGGCCTAATTAGGTCAGTTCTCAACGGCAAGTTCTTATGGTTAGCCCCAGAAATGAAGGGCGGGAAAAAAAATCTGACCTGGGAATGTGCAACAAGGGAGACAGACAGATAGATTGAAGAAAAGGATGAAAGATTGAAAGATACTGAGCATGGCGTTGATGGAGGCAATATATCTAATCCACCACTGGCTGCCTTGTCCATTCCACATTTTTGGCCATGTCTTCTCTTTTTCTCCCAACAATCTCCTTCACCTCTTGTTTTATTTATTTATTTCAATTCACTCCCAGCTACTAAGCAAAAGAGCCTCTCGTTTCCTTTACATTTCCCAGTTGCCACCCACTAGCTCCAGCTTCAGCCCACTTGTTAGATATTTTCAAATAAAGCCGCCATGCACACACACACACACACACACACACAGATTTTGTTCCATTCCCATGGTTTTCAATATATAATAATTTATCCTCTTTTTTTTAATGTACTAAAAAATGATAATAATTATACTTGGATTAAAATTCTGGCGCAACTATTTTTTAGCATTATAAATTTAGCTTTTCAAAATTAATTTGTCTTGTGAAAAAAAAAAAAAGATTCAGACAACACTATTGCTATAATTAAAGTTGTTACAAAGTACTTCTATAAATGCTATGTCAGTATTAATTATGTTCTTTTCTTCAACGTCTTAGTCCTGATCTGTTTAGTGAAAACGATTCATTTTTTTCTAGTTATAAAAATTAATTAGATTTATGCCTTTCCCTTTATTAATCTCTTTCCATATCGTCTTTTCCACTCTCATTTTATGCAAGAAAGTTCTGAAAATGTTACAATTATCACTTGGTTATCATACTTTTTTTGGCCAAACAATTGGTTATCATACAATCTCAATTTTCCTAAAACATTTATTGAAAACATCAAGAATAAAATTTATTTAAAAATAATATTATTTATATGTTATGAATAAATACAGATAAGATTTGAACATTTCGCAAACCTGTGTACTTTCCTGGTAAAAGAAAGCAATAAGAAAAAGAAAACAATAAAAGCAAAAGCGGACCAGTGGTTGAAGGATCAACATCAAAGCATATCTCCTCATCAAGAAAAATCCAAAAAATCAAACATTTGGAAAATAGAGGAAAGCAATAAAAATAAACTAAAATAAAAGAAGAGGGAAAAAAGAAAAGAAAAGAAAGAGTGCGTTGGAGGAAGCAATACAAAATAGCACATGGGATTTGAGTAGGGCGAACAAACCAGAAGCATAATGCCATGTGGACGAGAAGATTCCATAATTTACCAATTAATTTTTAAATAAATATACAATTATACCATTTATTTATTATTAATAAAAACAAGCCATTAAAGTACATTAGAGTAAGTTATTATATTTTTACGGAGAGTTAATAAAAATTTAAATTTTTTTAGTTACGATCAAATATGTTGAAAGCCTTTATAAATACAATTAGAGAAATAGTTTGTAGATTAAAAAATTAGTTTTTTTAAAATATGTTTTAAATTTTCTAAAATCACCTCTTTAAATATTTTATAAAAAACTACTTTTAAAAAATTTCTTTAACATATGCAATTAGTAAGAAGAGTTTGGGGAATTAGACTCAAGTTCAAAATAACTTGAAAAGATTATGAGTTTATGAAAAAAAAAGAACTCAGGATAAATTTTAATTTTTTTTAAAAAATGAGTCGATATATTATATTTATGGTTAAAATAAACATATCTATTAGTTTTAATATTTAGGATCTAAAAATAATAATAAATATATTTTTTTAAAAAATTATTATTTAGGGGAAAAAAGGAATTGAATGGAGGGAAAGGAGGGGAAAAGGGAAGGAAAGAACATGGGAGGGGGGGTATCCTTTCAGGCTCCAACTAATAAAGTCATGTGAGGCTGAGAGAGCAACTTGTCTTTGCCTACTTCCTTTAAAGCTGTCTTCCCATGTGGGCCCCCCCTTCCATTTCCCTTCGTGTCTTCTTGCCATCCTTTTCGGTGTGTTCTCTGCCTTCGCCATTCAAGCGCATCGCCATCATCTTGTTCGTTCATTTACATCTCATGACCATTTTCAGAAATGACGTGGCATATATTTAATTATTAGATTAAATGGATGGATGAGATTTCCCCTGATTAGAAGTGAACAGGATCCCGTAAGTGCATGCAATCCAAATTCAAATCTGACCCCATCATTTATCAACGCACTCTATGGTTGAACCGGATCTGCAGCATGTTTATTCTTTGCTTGAAATCGTCTATTTTCTTAAAATAAAAATAATTTTTTGCTCATCAAGTTTTTTAAAATAATAATTATTTCAAGAAATAAAATCTAAAATTTAAACAATTCAAATAAGATATTTACAATTGATAAAAAAATTATACTATTTTTTTTAAATTAAAAGAGCGGCCACGGTGAAATTGAACTTACAAACTCTCACATAAAAAGACCTTTCATGTATCTTTCTTTTGATAGGTCCTCTCCTCTACGTCTTGTCTTCTGGAAGATCAGAATCATACCCACTTTGTAAAATAAGGCTGCTCATCACTTTTCTTCATCAAAAGCCACATTTGAACTAACCCCTATTTCATAATTCACAATTCATGCCCATGCATGCACGCGTAATCTACCATTTCCCGTAAAGAAACATTGTACTCTACCCAAAAACCCAGAAACCATATAAACCAGACATTAATATAATCACATTTAATTGATTAATTAGTCCATTTCTTGAAGTTGAAATGCATAGTCACCTTCAGGGCTTGGACGGGTTGGGGAAAATTAGAAAGACAACTAAGCAGGGCAAGTTAGTGAGGTGTCAATATCAGGCTTCCTATTGATCTCATACGTTAAATCAATATATGTAGATGGGACTTCTCAGAAAGAGAGAGTCTCAAAGCCGTTAAGTCATGTAAGAAGTTGAAAGCTTTATCGTGTTCAGCCCATTAATCTGGGACCATATTGTGTTGGACCTTGAATTGAAATCTAATTCGTCTCGTCGCTCAGGTTCATCTCCCTTTTCATCTCTGAAAAGAAAAAAAAAAAAAAACCAGAGACAAAGGAAGCTAAGCAAGTAACTTGAGAAGTTCTTATAGTGAAGTTCCACTGTACTGTACTGAATAGTTATTTACTTCTCCTGTCAGTGTGTGTGTGTGAAGATGTACTTTTCCTCATGTTGCCACATTAATTTGTTGGATACAATTGGCGTATCCATGTATATAGCAAATACAACATCCTTCCCAATGGCAAAATTGTACAATGTCCTTTTTTACTGGCTGATGTGAAATACTAACCCCAAATTTACCAATTTAATTGCAGATACCTGTGCGCACACACATGCACAAAGCCCTTACTTTAATTTTCTGGGCCCTCATTCCTCCGTCTCTCTCTAGTACTGGTGATGTGCAAATTACAGCACATAACTTAGATGAGCTGCTCAAGGCATACAAGGTGTTTGGTTTATGTTCTGAAAGAGATTGACTGTTTATTCTATTGCGAGCATACATGTTTTGAAGGGAAAGACCCATTGGGCTGGCACCAGGAAAAAGTGAACAAGTTTATAGGCCATTCCACGAACACACATCTTATCCAGTCCAATTTTATTTGATATGAAACTTTTTACATTAAGCCAAGTTCACTCACATTTAACGTGTCCTAAACACACGCGCGCGCGCATATATAATTATGTGTTGAAAGTCATTCAAAGGAAGCACAGAACGAAGTGGGGTGGGGTGAGATGTAGTGGAGATACATGTAGAGGATTTGTGGAGAGGACAAAGAAGAGGAGGTGTGTTATGTGTCAAGTGAAGACCTCACATACGTTTACACAGAGAGAGGCTAAACTGAAACTGATGATGACATTGAATGATGCGGAGAAGGAGAAAGATAAGATCATAAGGGTTTGATAGGAAAGGAGGTTCGTCCTAATGCACGATGCTTGTTGGTGGGTTAGGTAGCAACCCCTGCCCCTCCTCTTCGGACCCATCCCCTAGATTCCTGCTCCTTTTCTCTCTCTCTGAAAAACACAATCCATTTTGGACTTCATGTTTTCGCCAACTCATTTCTCTTTTCTCTCAAGTAATCTCCTTTCTTTTCTCTCCACATAAACTTTAATATATATATATATATATATATATATATCACCACAGATATAAACCCACACCTTGTGGCAATTTCTTTTTTTCATTTTCAACAAGAGCTACCACCTGCCCCCTCCTCCATCTCAGGGCTTTTTACTGATATACATATATATATTTATATATATATGCTTTGATTTGTTTAATCTCCATGTCCAGGCCTGAATTCAAGTCTTTTAACAATGGAATCTAGTGTCCAGCTGCGATGTCGATCAATATAATTAAAGACAACTGTCTTTTTAAGGGAAAAAAATACCCCCATTACTTGTCTCCTAACGGAGAAACTAGTGTATCATTAGCAAAATAATTACATGTTATGCGCTTACACATGCAAACCCCAATATCAAATAAGTTGAAGCACATAAGCTACCTTTCTAAGCACTTTCTTTTTCCTTATTCTCCCCCCTCCCTTCATTTTAAGATTTGATTACCATTTTTTTTAATTTAAAAAATGTCGGAGGAATTGTGAGTCCTATTGCGTGTAATAAATTATGGTGGAGTTTCCTTTCCCTGTGCTACTGGTAACTTGCATATAATAAGGAAAATTTCAGTGATATATAGGGAAGTTGAGGGCCGGAATTTAGAACTCTAGATCAAACATCCTCTCTCTCTTCTCCCTACTCTCTCTCTCTCTCTCTGTCTTCCCGACTTCCCCCTCGCACCTTCCTTTTTCTTTTCCAAATATTCACATAAAAGGGGAGAGAAAAAAAGAAACTCTTCCTCATAAACCGATAAGGTATATAAGTCATCCTTCAGAACAATTGTCCCTCCTTGAATAAGCAATAATTTGCTCTTAAATTTAGCAGATCGAGGAAGTCCAAGTCTTTGTTATCATCTTTTGTGCACATCAAGTGACTGTTTAAGGTTTGAGCATCATCAACAATAAGCTTCTCTTCTTTCAACGCAAGATGATCAGAATACCGTACAACTTTTGAAGATTAGTGACAGGCCAATCGTAGCAAGCGAGAAAATGGCTTTCTTCTCAGCAAATTTCATATTACAGAACCCTCACCAAGAAGACCACCATCAGCCTCCACCGTCACTCAACTCAATTCTGCCTCAAGATTATCATGGTATCCTTCCTCTCCCTCTCTCTCTCTCTCTCTCTAAAATCAGCACAGTCAAGGCAAGGTAGCTACTCATATATATATTGTGGTACTGAATTGGGGTCTTTAATGTTTGATGCAGGAGGAGCGTCGCTTCTAGGGAAGAGATCTATGACATTTTCAGGACTTGAACTTGGTGGTGAAGAAGCAAATAATGGTGATGAAGACTTGTCTGATGATGGATCTCAGGCTGGGGAGAAGAAGAGAAGGCTTAACATGGAACAAGTGAAAACACTTGAGAAGAGCTTTGAGCTTGGGAACAAGCTTGAGCCTGAGAGAAAAATGCAGCTGGCTAGAGCTCTTGGTCTGCAGCCTAGGCAGATTGCTATATGGTTCCAGAACAGAAGAGCTAGATGGAAGACAAAGCAGTTGGAGAAAGATTACGATGTTCTCAAAAGGCAATATGAAGCTATCAAAGCAGATAATGATGCCCTTCAAGCTCAAAACCAGCAACTTCAGGCGGAGGTTAGTAATCTTCTTGAGCTCTTGTTAACTGATAAACAGTACAGCTTTTTCTTAGCTTCTTGCTGTTTATGTTGGATGAGAAAGAGAGACTTTTTGTCAATTAGATTCTGTAGAATAAAGCTCGGTAATCATTATCTTTTCTTTCCAAATATATGTTTATGCTTTTTTGACCTTTTCTTTCATTCACTTCCCCAATTAATAATAACTTTGTAGAAAGCTGCTTTCTCCATTTTTTTGCAACCTCTGGGTTGATGATTGGCTATAACTTTATATATATATATATATATATATATATATTGGTGAATGATTAGCTAATTTTATTGTTTCTGAACTGATATGCAGATATTGGCACTGAAAAGCAGAGAAGTGCCAACTGAATCTATCAACCTCAATAAGGAGACTGAGGGATCTTGTAGCAATCGGAGTGAGAATAGCTCGGATATTAAGTTGGATATCTCAAGAACACCTGCTATAGACAGTCCTCTATCCACTCATCATCAAATTACAAGCAGACCCTTATTCCCATCATCGACATCTAATTCTGCTAGGCCTTCTTCAGGAGTGGCTCAGTTTTTCCAAACCTCTTCAAGACCAGACCTTCAATGCCAGAAGATTGATCATATGGTCAAAGAAGAGAGCTTGACCAACATGTTTTGTGGGATTGATGATCAAACAGGGTTCTGGCCTTGGTTGGAGCAGCAACATTTCAACTGAAGAAGAAGCACAGAGAGGGGGTGGGAGAGGGGAGGAGGGAGGCTTCCTATCAATTAAATTACCATACTTTTGTCATTTGAGTTCTTATATTAATTAAAACCCATGTTTTTTATTACTTGATGTATAAAATAGGGTATATCAAGTGGAGTTTTTTTTTTCTTCCCTTTTTGCTTTTGGGGCTTGAAAAATTTTTACATGGAAGAATAAATTAAGGTCTAGCTGCAGCGAAAAATTTATTATTATTTAAACTTGTGGCGTAAACTAATAAACTTCACTGGTTGAGTTATTTCTTGACGATGACCACACTTCTCTTCCCATGAAACATTAAAATAAGAAAAAGAGATTCCTTGTGCTAAATTTTGTGTCATCTTTAACCCAATTTTCCTGAAGCTTTGCTTTGGAATCACACCTTTCTGATGTGCTTTGAAAAGGAAGCCCCCCTGCAATGATTTATGCTGATTTCATCAATGAACAACAACGATGAAGAACAAAATCTACTCGAACTTAACAAAGTTTATCTATATCTATATATATATATATAGATAATGGAAGGGAAGAGAATCAAGCACACAGTCCAAGAGGGAAAGAAGACAAGAGGAAAACAAGGAGAGTTGGAAATGGTCATTCTCGTGAATGGGACATCGTCGATTTTCCGTTGATGAAATGACAAAGGAAAGAGAGAGGGAGGGATCATGAATTGATCAGACACGTTTGATTGTACTCACTTTTTGGCACTCATTACCTTGCACAGTCCTCAGTACTGCTATACACTGGCCCCGCTCTTTCTAAGTGTTCATTTAATAATGTACTTCCCGTGATGTCACTGTCCCCCACTCTTTACTATCCAACAAACTCACTTTCCACCCCTTTTTCATTTCACCCCTTCTCTTACATCATTTCTTGAAAACCATGTCTAAAACTGACGCTACTTCTGTGTGTATACTGTATAACTTTTCTCTCTCCCATCGCAACTTCCTATATCCTAATCCATCAGAGGATCAAATCTACTAAGTTTCACCTGAATCCATGCAAAGTAACAGTAGAAAGCACGAAGCTCAGATGAATGTGTGCATTGCATGCAGAACCGTTGTTGCCTTGGTTAGTAATAAATTTCAGTACTGAATCTTATGTTCACTTTCAGATTAGCATTTTTATGTTTTCTGAACGTCGGGGTCACGAGCTTGGAATGTAAAGCGAGCAGACCATCATGTCATGATACTCATAGTGGCTGTCTCTCGCAACTCACAAATCTTGTCATCTCGTAGTCTGTTTGTGTACCTTCTAGCATGGTTCGCTATGCTTTTTTCCAAAGTTTCTGTCACAAATCGATATCTACAGTTCTCTCCACTAGATGAAACAGCATGGCATATGTGTATATGCATATCACCTTTGATTTAACTTTTTGCCTATAGATTAGGACACGACTGATCTGTTCCCTACCTCACTTACTGCTCACTTTCATATGAATTTACTTCTGTCTCAGCAGAAAACAATGGTATTCTGAGTGAGAGTTCAATTTATTAGACGAATATGGGATCTTTGAGAGACTTTAGATCTGGGGCTCAAGAAATATTGCTTTGGGAGTTTTGTTCGAACCTTGTATTATTAAAGACAAAAGAGCTTTATTCTAATGGGTAGGTAAATTTACACAGTGGGGCTAAAATATAAATATATACACAATTGGCATAAAATTTTCAACGCAGGGGGTCTAAAAAGAAAGTCGCCAACTACTCCTCCAAATTAAATACTGTCCGTCTGTCTGAATATCAAAACTCCACTCCTAAATGATAATCTCATCATGCTGATATGTTATTAAGAAGATACCAGGATTTAATCAAACTGGTAATGATTATCAGTGGTAAATCTGTTAATATAGAAGAAATCGGGGTCAAGTATCATGATATATTGTAGACCATATAGAAAGGATGGTTTAATATTAATTTTCTGTAAATTATAATAACATGCACAGTTATTACTGTGTTAGAAGGAGAATATAATATTGAGATTAATCAAGTATAGTAACATCTGACATATTTTGTAATGATATTAAGAATAGTATTTGTTTTATCCAGGAAGATTCCTGGACATGCACTAAGGTCAAACCAAAAACATATAATTTTCTTGCAAGCAATTGCTTCGCCTGAACTCTTTGCAACCGTAAAGAGTTCTTTTGTTATTTTAATATCTGATTGCCCCTAATTTCTTACGTATGTTAATATGCTTTTCTTAACATCAACGTAATAACTCTCAATGTGTCACAGATATGACTAGGTTTGGTTTTTTTAAGACAAATATTCAAAACATAAAATTTTGACAAATTTTTTTGCACGCCAAATATCAGATCTAAAGAAGTGATGAGGATCATATTCAAATGAAAACCTGAGAAAACACCGAAGCCTTATCTAGCCAGCCATCATCTATCTTCTGAATAAATACACAAGTGCCAAAGAATCCATTCTTGTGGCATGTGAGAAAATCTGTATTCCCATCAAAATATCCATTTATATATTTAAAGAACTGGGCTGCTATGGTTATGGGATCATGTGAACATGTTTTTTTTTTTTTAATTTGAAAAGAGAGGAAGGGGGAAAGAAAGACTTGGTGACATGTCTGAATATTTTGGCATTTCATAAATAATATATTAAAAAAATATAGTGGAATCAGAATATACAGAACCATTAACTGGTGGCCACGTGCATGGTGGTACCTGGCTATATGTTAATGAACCCTAATTAAACCTATATTATAGAGTAGTTAGGATTATTTTGTAAGAGTTGCAGAAGAATAAGAGCATTCCCAGCATGTCTGGGAATATATATATACACATAGTGTTTCCACAAAATGTGTGGATACCATGTGAGTGACTCTTGAAATGTCAACATGTAATGCTTTTCAGATACTACGTTAATATATTTTGTACAGAGTATCTTTTTTTGTTGTTTATTTTAATAGTGATGTTTCTTATGTGTGGAAGTGCATATAAAGAAAAACGACTAGGTAGGGTCAATGTGGACGGTTAATTAGTACTTAAATAAAGATTCCTGATCAGTAATGATTTCAGATGATAAGGTTGTTCTTCCTAGGTTTCGAAGAAAGCGTTAATTATTGATGGAGTAAATTGGAAGTTTATTGATACTGTTAAGTTAATTATATGCATGTTAACAAAAAGTTGTATATATGTACCTTGTAGGATTAGCAAAACCTGCATGAGAAGTATTATACATACATACATATATATATATATATATATAGAGAGAGAGAGAGAGAGAGAGAGAGCGACACTAGTATATTGTTCTATGTGTGGTTTCAAATATGTTACAGGCGGATTGCTTTTGCTGTTCAAGATGGGAAACTTGATTGCTTGGGAGAAGACTGGGCAATTTTAAATTATCATAAGTGATTAGCAAAACCTGGGCATTGTTGTTTGTAGATGCTTTTTATTATGATATACTCCTCCGGTCCTTAATATAGGACCCAATTGTTGAGTTGGTTTTGGTCCTAAATATAATACTCATTTTTTATATTTATCAATTTTCTCTAAATTACCCCTATGGATACTCCCTCAACCATAATCAAGTAGAATAGTGAGAGAAGGTATTAAGAAAGATAATTATGGTGTTTTAGGAAAAATGTGTGACATTTCTTATAATTAACTAACTTACCTAACTTTTTTAATCTAATCAAATTAGTTAAATGGGTCTTATATTAAGGACCGGAGGAGTATATAATAATCTTCATCCATTCCAATTTGATTCAATGTAAAATTTGTCCTACTAGTTTTTTTCACCTATGACCGCCTGCAAGAAACAAATAGTTAAGCAGCTTTGTACGTTACAGAAAACTGTTTTGGAGGGCGACATACCAGCAGATCAAAACACTCGTTTTACATATTCATATATCACAACAGAAGATAAGACTTAGCTTGTACATTTGATTATTACGAGATCTCTTAATAGTGCTAACAAAAAGGATCATTTGATTATTATGAGATCTCTTAATAGTGCTAGCAAAAAGGATCACTAGGGTGAGTAATAAAGCTCTTGTCACTTAGCAAAAGTGGTTGCTTCCTTGCATAATCCCTCCCTCAGAGTCTAAATTCAAGATTAGAGCAGCAACATATATTGCTGAAAATCTGAACTTTTCTGATCCTCACAATTGGGCTCGGAACCTTGTTCGTGAAGCCCAGGACAACTGGGTTTCTTCCTTGGGCTCGGAAAACAAAGGGCAACACATAATTGGGCCTGGCCGGTTTAGGTTGGGCTCATGTCTAATCATCAATATAATCAATAAAAATACACATTATGAAAATTGAGTCTAATAAAAAGAACTAATACCTCGTAATACAAACATACTTATGCATTAAAAATAACACACGTGTCATTTTTCACCCTGTTCTTTATTTTTTCTATAAATTAAGAATGCATCAGCTTTCAGATGTGAGCAAGGAGACTTTCCAGGTCGTATAGAAAAGCAGAATGACAAAAATATAGTAAGAAGTCAAGTAGTCAACGATGGCCAGCAAACATTATCATCATTTTCTAAATGTAAGATATTTGGTCCTCAATATAAGAACTAATTTGATATTTAATTTGATCCTAAATATAAAATCCTAATCCACTTTGTCTTTAATATTTATTTATTTTTTTCAAGATAGTCTTTGTAATAGTTGTATATGTTAAAGATTTTATCAAATAGTAGTTCTAACTAATACACATTATTAGGAAGAACAATACTTATTTATTACAAATAACTAATTTAATTAATTTTGTTAAATTTATTCAAATTAATAAACTAGCTCTTATTATTTATATATATAGTATTCGTGAGAAGAAAATGTACCCGTTTTCAGAGTCATTGAAGAACTGGTTTGAAGTTACAAGCTAAGAAGACTAAGGACCGCTGTGTCTGTTTTCTTCCAAGAATGTCGTCTGTAGCGACAAACTATAAACACGTACTCATTCAGAAACCAGTTTCAGTGTTGTAAGCACTCTAAGCTCATTAGATTTAAACCATTTATATCTCTGATTTAAATGGTCCCAATTTAAAATCTTCAATTAATTATTTTTAAATGGAAAATTTTTTTTTTAAAAAGAATGATAGTTAAAATATTATCTCTATTTTATGTTCTATACATATTAAAATAATGGATGCTTCAAATATGATGAGCTGATGAGCTTTGGGTGCCGAAATGGATTCCTCCTCAATCATTGATCTGATCATTGCAACCA